AGAAGGGTGAGGGGAACCAGAAACAGGCAGCAGGAGCATCTAAATTCAGGAAAGAAACAGAAGAGAACTAGATAAAATGGTAGAATACTCAATACAGTAAGGGGAAAGGGAACAGCAGCAATATTTAAAATGAAGAAAATAGAACCAGAGGTGGGCAGCCACCCAGGACTCGGTACCTAAATCCTTCAAGCTCTTCTTTGGAAGCCATATGTCCCTTATTCAGGACAAAAGCCCAGCAGCAAGAAGCTAAAGCTTCTCCCAGCCCAGGGATCAACTTCTTACCAGAACTGTGTGTGGCTCTGCCTTCTCTAGTAGGAACCTGCCCCCCCTCCCCAAATCAGGTGTTAAAGGCAGGGACACAGTTCATTAACCCTTTCCAGCCCTGGTGTACTTTGAATGCTTTATTTACACATTCCTGAAGAAAAAGGAGAAAAGAGATATTTGACATATCCTCGACAAAAAGTGGTTTTAATAGGATTCAGAGAGGTCTAAACATATTCTCCACCTAGGGTTGGGCTGCATTTTAGGGAGACAGTCAGATCCCAAGGGTGTGTAATTCCTACCTCTCGGAAACGAGTTGCCTCAGGCTTCCAACCATTAGGTTGTGTTTTGCAGAGAAGAAATTTTGTTTTTTTTTTTTTGTGAAGTGACCTAGAAAAGCCTGTGAGGCTCCATTGGTAGAGTATATAAGCCAATGCTTGTCTGTGGAGTGACCTAAACAAGGATGTGATGCTCAGCTGCCAGATAATAGTTTGCTTCGGTGATTTACAGTGATTCAAACAGAGCTGCTTGCCTGGTGAGTCAATGTTTCACAAAATTTGGGTACAGGATCTGACTCCCACCCACCTTCACAAAGCTGTTTATGAAAAGGAAGAGATTCTTACAAGACTGTACTTAACCTGATACACTAAAATAATGCTTTTCTGTGTCTTTACAACTGCAATCCCAACTGCACTTTGCCAGTTGAGGGGAAGATGATGTAATGGTGAGGAATGGGATTTAAAGGAAGGGATGGTTTGACTTCACTACTGTGACCTTGGTAAAGTAATTTTATGTCCTTGTGCCTCAGATTCCTGCTTGTGAAATAGGAGTGAACTAAAACCTCCTTTCTCCCACAGCACAGCTATTCTGCCTGTTCAGATGGCAAACTTTTCAAGTCAGGGGCAATGACAAGCAAAACACAGTCCATGAAGAATAATAAGGCAATAATCAATGATGTCCTGCACTCATTGGCATCAGTTTGTAAAAGTGATTTGATGGTCGTGAATAGCTGTGGGCCCAAGACAAGAATCATAGAGGGCTCTGGTTTGCAGAGATGAGGAGAAATTTGCTTTTATAGGAAGAATTTACAGATGATCAGTAAGATAAATAATCTTCTATTTCCCAAACAAACAGATTAAATAAAATACTGAAGTGTCTCATTTTCAGTAATGGGAAAATAAATCAAAGCAAAAGTTATTAATCTGGAACACATAAATTAAAACAGATCTGGGAAGAACAATAGGAAGAAACCCAGAGATAGTTATAGTCTTGTTAAGGAGATAACCAGTTATCATCAGGATGCTTCTGTAAACCCAGCACATTTTCCACACGGTGCAAAATACCGTCCCCCAGGAGTACAAATTTTACAGGTAATACTGAGGAAAGGTGTTGGGATCTGCTCCCATGCACTGGACACTGGCTTGGTCCCATTATACAGTTCAGCTGGACTGGTGTTACTCAGATCCGCCTCCTGGCTAAGCTGCAAAGCTCATACCGCCCATCAAATGCCCTGAGCTGAGCTCAGCAGTAAACCAGGTGCTTGGTTTGAGCAGGAAAGGCTTCTTCCCCTTCTAACTCAGGTGTGTTCATGAAGAAGGAATTACATTTGCCCTGGAAATTACTTCCTTATTTCATATGTGTTCAATAATTTCTTCTAGGTTGCTAATTTAAGTGCTGTGGATCACATGGGAAGACTCATTATATGACCGGTAATATGGATGCTAAAAGATCAATAACTGGTTGATGTCAACATCCCCCCAATTTCCACTTAAGCAACACTTTAAACTAGGGCAGAGCATTAATTAGATTTTGTATGAAATCTCTCCTCAACTCATTCTGCCTCCCATTGGCTAGTTAATTAAAATCAGCACCAGTATTAGGCTGCTACTATGCAGAAAAAAAAGAAAAAAAAAAGCTAGTAACTATGCTTTGGGGAAATAAAATAATTAGGGGTTACTATATCTTAATGCTTAGTTGCTCTCCTGTAGCTAGAAACCAGAATCCTGCCTGGGTTTCCTGAAGGTAACTGGGTCACAGGAACATATGCCTTGGCTTCACCCTTTGCTGTACTTTCCTGTACTTCAGTTTGACAAACCTTTGTTGAAGATGATCTCCTTAAAGGAGGCTAGTTTTTTCCAGCTTTGCTGGTGGAAACTGGGTCCCTGTCCCATGTCCCTGAGGTCATACCTGACCTTGGAAAAGTTTGAGTTTGTGCTTGCAATGAACTGGGCTTTGCATTCGTGGAGCAGTAAGGGAGATTCATCTGTCTTTATTTGAAATGCCAACAGTGTAGGCTCCTGAGTCTAAGTAAGCTGAGCAGATTTTCAGTCAGTGGAGGGCAACAAGCATGTCTGACTTGCTGCTTATCACATTCTAAGGGAAGCACCTAAACAGTTCTGAGTAACCCTGTTCTAGAAATCCTTTCTCCTCCCTTGATGAGAGGGGGAGGGTAAAGGAGATGCTTGGCTGTAGATGGCTATTATGTGCAGTGGAACAAATCTTACCTTTAAGAGCATCCCTTTCTTCCTGGGTAAAATGATGTTTGTGTCCTGTGTTGTCCCTGGGAGAAGCATGGCAAGATCACTGCCTGCCTGAGGATCTTTTTTCTTTTGAGGTGTAGAGTATCTACGTGGCTTCAGGAAACTGTAGCTGATATTCTTGGTCAAGGAAACAGTCACGGCTTCCATGAATACACAAGACGACAATATTTATATTTAGTGGCGTGAACTGCACCAACCTCAGTCTGGCAGCTCGAATTCTAAAGTTGGCCAGCCATGCTGCCACTGCTCCCTTGCTCTGCAAGGATGAACAAAATCAGCTGGCAGCTGTTTCCCAGGGACAGAGAAACCATGCATTCTGAAGTCACCCATCACCACAAAAAAAAATCTATTTATAAATATAGCTGCCTTTGTTTCATAGAGAGTGGCAACACAAAAAAAAGGCTGTGCTGAGATTATGTCTGTGGGCTTAAATTTGGCGTCTGAACCCCTTCTATGTCTTTGAAAATATCTATACAAGATCTTGTCACAATTTTAGATGTTAACTGCCAGCAGCTCCAAAGACGTGTAGGCAGGAAACAAAAAGCAAACAAATGGTTTAAGGTTTGTTGGTTTTGTCTTGGTTTTCTCCACCTTGTGTAAACTTTAGCCTCTTCAGCCTCTGTCTTCATGTATTTTCTTCTCCACTGTGTATATCTGACTACAAGCTCAGACAACTACCTATGCAAATAACCAAATAAACAGAATTATTTGCTGGGAAAAGATTGTAGCGGTAGTTACTTTCAGTTTGAGAATTGTTTAGGCCACTCTGGGAACTGTATCAGAAAGCAGTTACTTCCAGCAAATCAGCCCCGTGGCAAGGCTTGTATAAGGCAACACAGATTTTTGATGCTGGTTCTAGTCCATGTTAGAAGCAGAGGGAGTTTTGCCAGTGAGCTCAACTGGAATAGGACTGAGGTTTTGATGAAAAACAAGCAGGACTGTTTAATTTACCATGAGATTTTTAGCATTCTTCAAAGTAGTCTTTTACAAGTTTGCAGTCTTTCACTGGCTCTCCAGTTTGGGGCAAGAGGAGCGTAATGCTTTTTTAAAACCAGTCTCTTAACTGATTTTTGTTACCTGGCATACAACATTTCAGACCTTTTCTTGATCAGCTTCCAGAATCCAAGGCATGGTTTCTCATGAGGATTGCTGGCGACCAGCTGCGGGCTCTTCCGCAGGTGTGCCCCAGATGCCTATCACTCACAAGTATTACCACACTAAATTAACACCCACTGGACCTTGCTGTGTTGACTTAGCAACTTCTATGCAGCAATACTTAGAGAAGAATCTGCTTCCTGTTTTGGGATAGGTCTGTGCCACTCAACTGACAAAAAAAGTGCCGATGTTGACTAGTTCTTTAATATAAAATATCACTTATTTCCTGATGGTGAATTTAAAAGGTGAAAAAGCTATTTCATGCTTTGGATGTATGAGGAAGAACTGATGAGATCAAACAAGATAACTGCCAAGGTAGTAAACTTAGAAACATCATGGCAAGCAAAAAGGCTTAACTGGGGAGTAAAAGGATAGAAGTATTGGAGGTTCTTCCTAAGGTGACTATCAGCAGTTTCCCTGCAGCTGAAGAAGCTTGCCCATGTTGCACTATGGCATTTGAAGGTGTGCATTTTGTGCTGACAATACACTTGAGTCCAAGAATCAAGCACCATTTTCTCAGTTCTTTCACATGTACCTGTTACTGGCAGTACCCAAAGTGATATGCCTTTATGCAGCAGCTCTGGCACTGACTGCTACAAATTTGCAATCAAATCCTTCATTTTTGTCCTTGATAAGCCTTTTCCACTGGTAACTGAAGTCTAATGCTAACATTCCTCTGCCTTCTTCCTTCTCCTCCTCTCTATAGAAAACTGCTGACAGTTTTTATGACAGGTTGTATAAATACAATCTCCTTAAGCAGAGAGGAGATTGTATTTATAAACCATATTTTAATAGAGCAGTCCCTTAGGAAAATCTGTAGCATTACTGCAGAGCAGAGATCTGCTTGGGGTGAAATAGTGCTCTGTACTAGGAGTTAAACCCACCTGGGTCATTAGGTAGTTGTAAATCTTCAAAGAGTCTGTTAGTCTCTTAGAAAACAATGGAGACACCTATCTGCCTACCTGTCACATCATTGGGGACATCACTGCCTACAACTCATATCCTGGTTGATTTTGTTAAGCTCACAGAGCACAGTGGCCAGCACAGCTGAGGCTACAGAGCACAAGTGCTGAATTCAAGTTTTAAGATTTCTAGGAGGGATCTAATGAGATTTAGTGTGCTTTCTGTGGTCTAAAAGCTGCCTAAATTGCCATGGCAGCTTTACATTTACCTTTCAACGTTTGTGTACTTTTCTTTGAGAAGCAGGTTGCTTTGTCTACATCCTTGCTCTGGAGGAGCAGAAGCATCCAAGGGGTGCAAGTGTCCTGACTTTGGGATGAAAAGAGTAAAAATAAGATTAAAAGAGTGAAACTGCTCTTAAAGTCCATAAAAGTACACTCCTCTATGGTGCCATCACAGCAAACAATATGCATATTTAATATTGAGAGGAAGGGGCATGATGTGCACTTCTGCTCATCCTCAAAGTGGTATTGAGTATATGTGCTGTGACGCAGCTCTGGGATTTAAAATTATCTCATCTTGCTCCTGGATGAAAAGCAGAACACATTCCCCTGGTGAATCAGGGATTTCATTTGCTCGATACACAAAGAAATGCAAAAGTATAACATGGAATCTGAGACAAGTGGTTTCTTTTTCAGAGATTTTTACCAAATTCTCTTTACGTTACAAACTCAAAACTAACCATTATTCACCACTTCACAAGTAAAAAAATGCACATGCATTTTGGATTGAGAGAGTGGTCTTATGATCTTCTTTTTTTAGCTTGTCCAGGAAAACTGCTGCTTCTATTTGAAGAATATTCTATCTGTGCTCTCTGGTCTTCCCTTATCAGCCAGACTTCATACCCCATGCTTCCTTTGCTATCCTTATCCAAGATAGCATTGTTGTTATGCTAGATAACTTAAGAGTTGGTGTGGCATTTTGTCTGGGGAAATTATAAAGCCATGTCTATTCATTGCAATATGAATATGATTAAAGACAAATATAGCTCGTTCCAAACTCTGAGCACTCCCAAACTCTTCACCTGTTTCCCAACTTTAAGATTTTATCTGCCTCTGTGCAAGACTTGATCATACCACAAGAAGACGCAAATATCAGACACTTTAAAAGTAAAAAAAAGTTATAAAACACTGATTATCCTAGGACTTTTTCTCTTAACACAATAGTTGCAAGGCAATGGCTGATGTAAACAACGATAATTACTTCCTCTTGCCTTTTGAATACAGGCAATTGCAGTAAAAGTGATACTTTACTGTTCGTAAAGCAGTTCATGGTTATCTGTTTGCACACTGAGATATGAAGCACCCAAACATCTGAAAATAGAGTTAAGATCTAAAAAGGAATTTATTGTTTCTGTTTCTGAATTAATCATCAATAATATGGCTTATGCTAGTGTTAAATTTAGACACAGCCATTTCTTGCATCCTTCTTGTGTCCTGGAAAAGACACAGTCATTTAGCTCTACCTGCTTTTCCAGGTGTAGTTCATCCTTGTAATGTCTGAGCCACATTCTGAAATTAATTCCTCTACCTTTGCCAGAAGATATTACTCCTAAATTAATTCCTCTGTCTCCCCAGAACCAGTACACCTCCCCAAGTTACTGCACAGAAGGAGGAAGCTGGTGGAGCAGAGCTCCACTTCATGTCTCCTGCTTGGAGACTTCCTAAACACACTCCCTGCTGGCATTGTGGGCACAGATAGGAAAAACATCACTTCTCTGACTTAACAAACCAGCTGGGAGTTTTTTTCTGCAAAGGGAAACCTGTACCAGCCAACTCTGAGATCACACTATTAAAGTGGTTGAGGTGAGAAGGGACCTCTGGAGGTCATCTAGGCCAACCCTCCTGCTCAGGCAGAGACACCTAAGTGCTGGTTGCCCAGGACCATGTCCAGCCATTGCCCAGGACAGAATGGTTGCTTTAACCTGTATAAACATTGGAGAGATCCCAAGGTGCTAAATAATCTGGCACATTTCAGCCTAATTACCTTAATTACCTCTCCCTTCCTTTCCACATCTTTCCTGGTCAAGCTGCTCTCTTCCTGGGAGGAGTTGGTTCCCAGTGAGGTGTGTGGCACAGCACAGACACCACGGATACCCTGCAGGGAAGAGGAGAAAGAAATGGGCAGCATGACGGAGAGGTGACAGAGCCAAAGGCATAAAGGTCCTGTTTTCAGCAAAATGCTAGGAACATGCTAAATTTGAAGTGCATTTGTTGGCCTTGTAGGTTCTGTTGACCTGGGACAAAGACAGGGTTCTCTCCCCAGTGATAGCTGTGGGTATGGTCTCCACAACGTCCCAACTCCTGTCCTCCAGGAAAGAGGCATTCAATGTGGGAGTTACTACCAGATCTCAGAGGATGAGACACCACAGCATTAAAGCCTAAACTAAAGCATGCTGAAGTCAACACCTGCTCATTGATGGATATAGATGCTGGATTGCGCCTTTAGCAAATAACTAATTACTTCTTGAGTTGGGGACAGCTGAGTGGAGTACTTGTAGGGGTCTTGTACACATGCTTTCCAGTCAATAATTTATTCACATCAATAATCCTCCATTGTGCAAACAGTCCTGTTTGAACACAAGGATTACAATACAATTAAAGGCTGGAGGATGAAGCCCCGGGATAAGATGCAGAGTAAACAAAGTATGATATTACAGCTATTTATTAAGGTTTAGAAGTAGGCAGATAATGAAATCAGGATGGCCATGAGTCACAAGGCTTCACTGCTTCCTGAGCTTAAGCACAAAACTGTTTTCAGTGCAAAGCCATGGTTCTATTTTTAAATAGACCTACTGGCTGAAGAGTTATGGCTGAGGTTGTAACCCTTCTGTGACTGGGCAAATAAAGGTGACAGCGTCACCCAGGGCATAAAGTTTTGGCAGGAACTCAGTGTTATTCTGTGCAAGTCACTCTCCCTGCTATCTTCTCAACTAGTGCCAATTTTGCTTTTTATTTTTTAACATGTTTAATTTCTTTTGCCCAATTCCCTAAGAAAATCGAGGTTTACATGGCTAGGCTGTGTATTTATATTTTCCTGCTTTCCAGTACATTCTGAATCCATCCATCGAGGACAGCATCTCAATATCCTAGGACAGAAGGTGCACAGTGAGGACAGGAGAGGCAGAGCTCAGATACTACTGCTGAGGGAAAGCCTGCAGCATGAAATTACTCTTTAAAATGCACAAGCAAGAAAGAGATGCTGACAGTCAGGCTTTTTTAGCTCTACAGTCAGTAATATTTAATTTTCAAACACTTTTTAAAAAATAGTGTTTTAACTCAGTTAACATAGAAACATCTCTGAGCAGTGCAGTCATTTTGTGCAACCGCATGAGTTGGAAAAACAGATATCTTTGTTTTGTTTCTGTAAGAGTTTGCAAAATGCTCTCCTTATTGGAACAAAAAAGATGTTCTGAATATGTATTTTTGCAGAAACATCTGCTGTGTGTGAAGTTATTTGACAAAACAAACCATAGCTCTTTATTTAGATTAGAAAATACAAACGCTCTGGAGCATGTTGGAAAACAAAGTGAACAGAAATAAAGAGAAATAAGTGACTGAGTAGCCACAACATATTAACATCAGTTCCCCTTGCTTTGGATTTAAACTGTATCCTTTCCCATTGTGTATTTTTTCCAGGAAATTTTCTCTCTCCTTTTTTTTGGTGACTGCTGCTTTTCCTTTCCTGCTTTAATTGAATCATTCCCTTCTGTCCGACAGACAGCTTGAAAAAATAAACTCTTATCTCTGCTCTGCAGCTACAGGTGATGATCCCTTTGCACATCACAAATTGTGTTTCAGAATATGTCAAACGCTGATTCATTTACTGTCTTTTCAATTATTTTGATTTAATTCAGTCAGACCTTTGGCTTGGTTCAGGATCCTTTGCAGAAGATCTATGGGATAAAGGAATTAGAAAGCTAACATAACAGCTTGTTGAGGCAGGGCAATATCCCTGTCTCAGAATCAGCTCTCTTCAAAATCCTCCCAGTAATTCTACCCCTGGGTAGAAACAATGGGATTTTGCAGGTGCCTTTTAATACTCATTCCCTAAAAGACTCCTCATTTCAGTCAGCATCCAAGAACCTTCACAGATTTGGACTTCATGCACACAGTCCTGGGTTCCAGCCCAAAAAGAGAAACCCATTAAAGATCACATTTGTTTCTGTCACCTGATTCTCAGCATTCATTAATCTAAGAGATCTCATTGTGGCCTTTCAATACTCAAAGGGGGCTTATAAAGAAACATGGAGAGAGACTTTTTACCAAGGCCTGTAGTGACAGGACAAGGGATAATGGTTTTAAACTGAAAGAGGGTAGACTTGGATTGGACATACGGCAGAAATTCTTTCCTGTGAGAGTGGTGAGGCACTGGCACAGGTTGCCCAGAGAAGCTGTGGCTGCCCCCTCCCCGAAGTGTTCAAGGCCAGGCTGGACAGGGCTTTGAGCAACCTGGACTAGAGGAACGTGTCCCTGCCTGTAGCAAGACTAGATGATCTTCAAAGATCCTTTCCAACCCAAACCATTCCATGATTCCACATTCTTTAAAGTTCCCTTCCAACCCAAACCATTCTGGGATTCTGTGATTGTAATTCCACTGACCTAAGGTGAATGTTTATTCTCCAAAAAGTCTTTTGAGTCTTTAATACAGTTCATGTTCTGAGCCCCCAGGATACTAGAAATCTGGTTTGTTTTAATAATGTTAAAAAACTGCTTCAGTTTTTAAGTGGTATAACTATTTGTGGATCAATACTGTGAAGGGAAACAGCAGAAGTAATTACAGCTGCATCTTGTTCAGGAAGAGAGCAGTGAAACACTACAGGCTTGCCATTAACACTAAAAGAGACCATTTCTGTGCTCTCAGTTTACTACTCATGCTAACACATTTACTCATACTTTAAAAATATGAAGGTTCTTTTAATACAATGCATAACTGGCCATAATTTAACACTAGCAGATTTTAAAGGCAAATACTTTTCCACCGTGGAAGTAGATGGGTGCTGTTTATGAAGCAGCAGCTATTCTGCAACAGTCTCAGCTCAAGGTCATCCTTAACACAATGCAAGGTGCAACAAAATCTACCTTCTGCCCAAATGGTCTTCTAGAGTAACTAACACAACTTAAGTTTTCAAGTGATTGATGGTTATACCTCAAAACAGTGCCCCATTTCCTGACAGTAGCACCCAGTGGGAAGGTGCTTGCTGCATTTTGTGGAGTTCTGGCCCACGTTCAGGATGACCAAACTCAGCCTGGGACTGCATCATAGCTCTGCTTTGCTGGGAGCCTTCCCTGTGGATTATTTTAATCATTATTTCACCTGATCTCTCTGCAGGGTTAGGTCCCGAGAGGAAGAGTTGCAATACAGCACAGATGGTTATTCCTTTGGAGTTGTTTTCCAGTGACACAGCTTCCCTAGATCATAAACAGCAGCTGAGCTTTGTGGCTGCAATCTCACTGGCAGAACTGCCAGCACCGACAAAACAGAGCCTCACACAATTTTGTTAATCAGTCCTCTGTCTCCAGGTTTATCTTTGCTGCCCTTGCACACAGGCTTGGGATCAGGCCAGTACTCTGCACACCTTGACCCCTTTTGGTTTCATGGCTGAGAGCAGCTGGGGACATCTTCAGGGCTTTTCTGTGATTCACAGAAAAGAGCATTCACAGCAACCAATAAGCTAGCTTTGAGATCTCACAACCTCACACCAGTTACAGCCTAGACTTTGCACCTTTTCTTTTGCTACCATTAGTCCTGGTACTCTTTTGTTTGGTGAGAAAACCAGCCAATACTCTGATAGATTCTGTACTGTTTCAAGTTTATAATCTTTTACATGTCTTGGGTAAACCTGATAAACCAGTTTCTGCTGCTGTTACACAAATGCTATGCATTGTTCTGCTGTACAGCACAGTAATTTTTATCACTGATCTTGCATTTTCATAGTGGTTGCTCTTAATTTTTAAAGCTTTAAAACGTGAATAGCAAACTTGTGAATGCTCTGTGTGGAGACAGCCACTGAGGAGTACTGTCACATTTAGATTAGATAGAAGGAAGAAATTCTTCACTGTGAGGGTGGTGAGCCACTGGAACACATTGCCCAGAGAAGCTGTGGCTGCCCCCTCCCTAGAGGTATTCAAGGCTAGGTTGGGCAGGGATTTGAGCAACGTGTCCAGTGGAAGGTGTCCCTGCCTGTGGCAGGGAGGTTGGGACTACAGAGTCTTTAAGGTCCCTTCCAACCCAAACCATCCTGTGATTCTATGACTCAGCTGGAGCAACAGCCTACTTACAAGTAAAACTGGATTTGTAAAACAAGGGATGTTGTCACCTTTAAGGTTACATACATCTGTATGTATCTTCAGAAATTTGGAGATGGGAGATCTTACATCCTCCTAGCAAGGAGAGTGTCAGAATTGCTCCAAAAGCTTTCTTGGTTAGCCTTTAAAAAAAAAAAAAAAAATTTAAAAAAAAAATCTCATTTTTGGATGCGGCGGGCAGAGGAAGCAAGCAGCCGATTCAATGTGAATGATAGAGCAAGCTTCAACTTTACTGAAAGAAATCACACCTTATATAAGCAGTCTACAATACACTACTTGCAACTCTATTGGATACATTCAAGAAACTACATTATAATGTCTCAGCCATTGGGTACATTCAAAAGATCACATTATAATACACCAGCCCCTCGTGGCATTTCTGGTATGCATAAACATCTTTCTTGCTGTAAACCTGCTTCTCTCCCAGGGCTGCTTCTCTTCACCCCCCAAGGTCGTAGTGCGCCCCAACTTATCTCTGTGTTCTCACAACAGTCCTCGCTAGCACAACTGAGCCCTGGATCTCCATCCTTGTTTACATAACTGTACCCTGGGTTCTTTCCTTTGTTTACCTCAGGTGGCTGGGACTGACTTCTGCAGGGAGCTATGGCCTTGCTCTCTGCAAGGCGTTCTCCAACATTTGGACATTTTCAATGCTGTAGGCAGAACAGGCATATTCTGCTTATAAGAGCTACTGGCTGAGCATGACTGAACAGCCAAGAACACAGAGTAGGTGTAAAGTAACTGACGTTCTGCTGTTTTCCTACAGAAGTCCTCTGTGAGGTCACTCAC